GCCACCTGAGGAGCCCGAGCCCGGCCCCAGGGCCTATGACCGCTTGCCTGGGGACTCCCGGGACTACTCCACAGAGCTGAGCGTCACTGTGGCCGTGGGCGCCTCCCTTCTCTTCCTCAACATCCTGGCCTTTGCTGCCCTCTACTACAAGCGGGACCGGCGGCAGGAGCTGCGGTGCCGGCGGCTCAGCCCCCCCGGGGGGTCAGGCTCTGGTGTGCCTGGTGGGGGCCCCCTGCTCCCTACCACCGGCCGAGAGCTGCCACCAGAAGAGGAGCTGGGGTCACTGCAGCTGAAACGGGGTGGCGGCGTCGGGGCAGACCCTGCTGAGGCCCTTCGCCCCGCCTGCCCACCCGACTACACCCTGGCCCTGCGCCGGGCACCAGACGATGTGCCTCTCTTGGCCCCCGGGGCCCTGACCCTGCTGCCCAGTGGCCTGGGACCGCCACCTCCCCCGCCGCCACCCTCCCTCCATCCATTTGGGCCCTTCCCCCCACCTCCTCCCACCGCTACCAGCCACAACAACACTCTACCCCACCCCCACTCCACTACCCGGGTATAGGGGACAGCTTGGGGGGGCCTCCTCCCCAGCCCTCCCATGGGCAGGAAGTGCCACCCGGAAGGCAGGGAGGAGGACCTGCGACAGGCTTTTCTTGTCCCACGTGGAGGGACATGAGGTGGACATGGGTCTCCTCACCAGGATGCGTGTGTTCCCGTGCACAGAGGCCCCTTTTCTCTGGACCTGGGCCTTTGAACAACTGGGGGGTGCTCTGTCCCCTCCACCGGGACCCCAGCCTTCGGTGTGTGGAAGCGCAGGGGGGTGTCCCACGCGGAGGTGTGCTTTCTCACGGGGGGTGTTTTCCCATGTGCAGGGTGAGGTTTTTTTTGCCGCCCTGGACACATGTTGGCCCTCTCAGAGAATTTCTGCGGGGATTTGTACCCCAGAATCATACTCCCTCATGCCTTCTCCCGCCCCCTCTCTCCGCCCCCCACCCCGTGGAGACCCTGGAAGTGGTGTGCTCATGTACAGCGACCCTTGGCCACAGGATAACACAGGGTGGTTCTGGGAAGCAGCGAGGACCAGCCCCCTTCCCACGCCGCCCCCCTCCGCCCTGGGGAAGCATGTTTTCCCGCCCGTGGCACAAGTCAGCGAAGCATGGTCTCCTGGGTAGGCCTCGCCTTCCATAGCCGACAGCCCCTGCGGGGGCGGGAGACCCGGGCAGCCTGTCCGCCCGGGAGCTTGTCCCATAGGCCCAGGGCACACTCTGAGTGGAAACATGTTCTTGCATGTGGATGTGTGTTTTCCCATGCAGATGGTCCCTTCTCTCCAGTACCTCCCTGCATCCCCCAGGCCTCAGGCCCAGCACCGAGTTCCTCCTCACACAGCAGGTGGGAACAGACTTCACACTGGCAGAAGCGGAGGGGGGTGCACAGACGCTCAGGGGAGAGCTCTGCTCCTCCCTCCCCCAGAGATGCGGAGTTGGGGGTCAGGGGCGTGGGACCTGCCACCGGGAGAGGCCATGCATGTCTGACCAAAGCCCTCACTGGGGTCTGAGGACAGCCTTTCCCTCAGTCCTCAGACCATTACTCATCTGTGCCAAACTGGGTCGGTGGGTTTGCCCAGAGCTCCCCAGTCCTGGGCCAGAGTAGGCAGATGTGGGAGCAGGTGGGATACAGGAGGGGGAAGTGGCAGCTATGGGGGTCCCACCTGTGTCTCTTGTCTCCTCACCCCCTGTGCCTCCATTCCCTTTTCCCACGCCTTTTTCTCCCTCTCAGGAGCCATCCCTGTGTCTGTGTCAGACCAGCCCCTCCCCTCTGCTGCCCATTCCCTGTCTGTGACCTGCCCCCTCTTCCCTCAGCTGCCAGGGCTGAAGGAAAGGGGACGCGGAAGGTGAGGGGAGGAGAGCCAGGGGGGAAGGCTTCATGGTTGGGGAGAGAATGAGGTCAGCTCGCTGAGAAGCAGGTGGAGGGGGCAATGGGGCCAGGTCTTGGTCAGACACCAGCCGGAAGAATGTGAAGGATGTGTAAGGTGACCGCCCAGAGGGGACCTGAGCCTACAGGGAAAGGAGCCTCGTTGGGGGGGTTCTAAGGGACGCCAGTGGAGGAGAGAATCCTCATCCGCTGGCATTTTGTGGGTTGTTAGTGCCAAACTTGAGTTGGGGCTGGGGTGCTGTCTTCCGCTGACATCCGGATCCGGACTCCCTGGTCTTGGCTCCCCAGAACTTTGCCCCTTGACCGTCCCTCCTCCCACCTCCACCCATGGGACCTTCTTTTCCCACCCCTCTCCCGCCTGGTCTAGTTCCTTTCCAAACAGCCACGCCCTCTAAATGCCAGGGCCCTGGGCCCTGAACCCTATAGACAGATGTCTCACAAATTGGGGCATGGGAGAGGGGCTGGGGGACCCCATGATTCAGCCACGGACTCCAATGCCCAATCCCTCTCCCCAGAACAGTTCCCTGACAACCCCATGTCCCTGCCCTTCGCAGCTCTGTACACATTTTTAAACCTGGCAAAAGATGAAGAGAATATTGTAAATATAAAGTTTAACTGTTGGTTTGTGCCTGCTGTGATGTTAGGGGGTGGGGGCAGGGGGTTTTGAAGAAACAAGCCTTGGAGACGTGACTGCTGATGAGGGAGGTCTGTAGCCACAGCCCTTTTTGGTGATGGCTCTGAGGCCTCGTCACTGAAGGGGAGTGGGTGCTGAGTGAGGTTGCCATGGTAATGGGCTATTTAGGGAGATGAGATTAGGACCCACCCCGGCCCGGTGGCTCAGTTAGTTGGAGCATTGTCCCATACACCAAAGGTTTTGGGTTCGATTCCTGGTCACATATCCAGGCGGTGGGTTTGATCCCTGATCTGGGTGTGTATAGAGGACAACCGATTGATGTTTCTTTCTCTCTCTCTCAACATATCCTCAGATGAGGATTTTTTTAAAAAAAGAAAAGAAAAAAGAAAAAGATGAGGACCCGTGTCTGTGCAGAGGACGGAGCCTGGTGTAGAAAAGGACCAAATGGGCTGGTGGGCGCAGACACTAGGCGGGCTGGAGGCCTCGCTAGCTGGTCCAGGCAGCTGGCCGCAGGCGGGGCATACAAGGTGCGGGCTTGGCTTCTTCCGCGGTGCGGGCCCAGGCCAGAGGGCTAATCCTGGGCCAGGCCCCTCCCTCTTGGCACATTGTGAGGAGCAGCCCCAGCATCATTGTGACCCGCCTGCCCCCAGGAGCCTCTGGGTCAGGCCGGCGGGCTGCTGGGGACTGTGGCACAGTGGGTTGGGGGTCTAGGGGCCCCGGTGGTCCTAGGGACCCCCATGGCTGTGGCTGAGCAGCCATGGCCCAGGTGCGCCTCCTATCACAGCCCCAACACCAACAGCTGCCAGGACCTGGGCAACTCGATCCTGTTGCTGCTGGGCCTCATCATCTGCATGAACATCGGCATCAACATGGTGACGCTGGTGAGGGCAGGGCTGGGTGGAAGGGTGCCGGCAGGCTGGCGGGGGGCAGGCCTGGTGGCCAGGGCCTACCTGGGGTCACCGTGCCTTTCCCCCAGCTTTGGCGCAGACTCCGTTTCTTCTTACACGAAATGTTCTGCAGAATTGTTTCTGAGAAAGGTAAGCTGAGCCCAGGGGGTTAGGGCCGAGGAGGGGCAGATACCCAATGTTCTTGCCCTTGACCCCCAGCTGGCCCCTTCCCCTCCCAGTCTCCCCTCTCACATGCCACAGCTGTGCAGCTTCTCTCCCCGAACCCGGCTCTCTGCCCCGTGGGCGCCCGTGTCCCCCGCAGCCTCTCCCCTCTCCCTATCCACAGAAGCGTCTAAGTCATCCTCACCTAGAAAGAAGACCCAGCACCCAAAGCCGAGCCCCCCTGCAGTCCACCTTCGATGCACCATGGACCCCGTGAAAATGACCGTGACCCCCCGACCCACTCGCCGCCAGCGCCATCGAGGCTGGTCAGCACGCCGTGCCCACCACCCAACAGCCTGGGCCCCCGACACCGACGACGAGGAGAGGCACCCTCATCGGCACACGGCAATCTGCTCCCAGGACTGGGATCACCCCTCGGACTGGGACGGCTTCCAATCCGCCCAGGGCTACTGGGATCCCTGGGCCCAGGACACTGCGGGGCTGCCCACCCAGGGCATTCGCTTCCAGGAGGCCGTAGAGAGAAGACCCCTCAAAAGAGAGATGCAGTCGGAGATGAGCCTAGAGGCCTATGTGTACCCTGTGAACCCCCCACCCCACAGCCCACAGTGCCACAAGAACAACGGAGGGCGGGCGGGAGCTGAGGGGGGGCAGGAGCAGTGCTCGCCTGACCCCCCAGCACCCAAGGGTCCAGCAGTTGTCCCAGATATCCCCCAGAGGCACCCCTCACGCCACCTAGTGTATGACGCCCTCGACGTGAGGCGGCGGCTTCGGGAGCTGACCCAGGAGGTGGAGTTTCTGGCCCACTGTTACCCCATGGCCACCAGATCCAGCACTGCCGAAGGGGCGAACAAGGACAAGGACTGGGTATACCGTCCCCTGACAGAGAGGTGACCGGAGGAGAATAAAAAACAGAGAGAAGCTGGTGTGTGGTGGTTTGGAGCCCCAGGGGGGGGGCGGGCGGGAGTGGGGGAGCAGTGCTAGGGTCCACACAGCTCCTAGGAGCCCTGGTTGCTAAGGAAACAATCTCCTTGGGAACAGGGCCTGGAGAGCCCTGAGGACCCTCATCCACCTCTTGGCCTCAGTCTATCAACCCTGTCCTCAGACCTCTTCCAGGCCCTCTGGGTTCTCCGGTTCCCATCTGCCTCCGCCCAGTTCTCTTTAGTGCCCAGAAGGGGCCCCCGACAATCCTACCCCAGATGCGCAGGCAGCCCCGCACCGGAAGGGAGACCTTCCCCGCATGGTCTGGGCCTCAGTGGTCTGGTTCCTGCCAGAGCCCGGTTTAGGCTGCAGCTACAGGGGAGGTGTGGTTCCCTCTCAGCCCTCGTTTCTTTCTTCTTCTTTTTTAAATCTTTAAACCTTTTTTTTTTTCCTCTTTAAAAAATTATTTATTTCTTTTTAATCCTCACCTCAGGATATTTTTCCCATTGATTTCCAGAGAGAGTGGAAGGGAGGGAGGAGAGAGAGAGAGAGAGAGAGAGAGAGAGGGAAACATCGGTGTGAGAGACACACATTGATTGGCTGCCTCCCACATGGGCCTCTACTGGGGTTGGGGATCCTGCAACGGAGGTAACATGCTCTTGACCAGGACTTGAACCTGCAACCCTTCACGGGTTGACGCTCTAACCACTAAGCCAAACCGGTCAGGGCTCAACCCTTGTTTCTTTGGGGAGTGAAGGTAGCCAGCCCTCACAGTTCCCCAATCAGAACCTTAAGTTCCTGTATCCTTAAGCAGCTTAGAGCAGAGGATGAGAAATTGGGGACACTCTCAAGGGCTGTGACCTCCCTCTTCTGATTCCTATCTTCATGTCACAAGTGAGGAGACAGAAGCTCCGAGAGGCAAGTGCATCCCCTGACAGAGAGGTGATTGGAAAAGAATTTTTTAAAAAAATGAGAGAGAGAGAGAGAGAAGCTGGTTTGTGGTGGTTTGGTGGGGGGGGGGGGGGGGGCACCAAGACATCAAGGATCAACTTCACGGCCTCAGGTGCTTCACCCCCCTGCTTCTGCAGGTAGAGTCTCATTGCCAGAGTCAGCTTCGCCCATCAGAGTCTCCCACCTGCCTAAGTTTGCCATGTGAACTCTCCAGAATATTCCATCCATTGAGAGCAGCTGGGACCACACACACTCACACACTCACATACACACACATGTGCACACACAACTTGGGAAGGAGGAGCCATGTGAGTGCACCACGCTGAAGCGGCTGGACCTCACCTTCATTCCAGGTGGGCTCCTGGGATGTGAGCCGACAGGCCTTTAGTGAATCGCCCTGCTTCTCTGTTCATTTTCATTCCGTTAATGCCCCCGATCGTTTGCAGCTGATTGCATTCGGCGGGTGTGTACCGAGCACCTACTCGGTGTTTGGAGCCTTGATGGAAAATGCCTACTGGCTGTTCCTCTATTTCTGCTGCGTACATAGTTTATTGTGCAGACAAATGACTTGTGGTTCCCAGGGCACCCCTTTCACAGACACCAGTGATGAACCTGGTTTAAATAAAAAACTTTGTCATATCAACAATTACATCTATTTTGTGCTTTGTGAGTTTAATGTGGTTTTATTTTTTTTTATTGATTTCAGAGAGGAAAGGAGAGGGGGAGAGAGATAGAAACATCAATGATGAGAGAGAATCATCGATTGGCTGCCTCCTGCACGCCCCCCACTGGGGATCGAGCCCACAACCCAGCCATGCGCCCCCCGGCCGGAATTGAACCCGGGACCCTTCAGTCCACAGGCAGACGCTCCATCCACTGAGCCAAACCAGCCAGGGATAATGTGGTTTTCTTAAGGTGGTAGCTAACAGTTTTTCAACTTGAAGGGGTGGCTCAGTGGGAGGGCAATTGATTAAGGACCATGTCCATGGTTGGAGGTGGTCCCTGGTAGAGGCAGCAACCCCAGCAACGTAGAAACCAGTCTTGCTCTGAAGCAAAGGGGCTTATGGGCTCAGTGACCACCAACATCGAGGGCTGAAATCCCTGGCCAGAAAGGGATGGTTAGGGTAGGGCCAGAGGTATGACAGGGAAATGGTCAGGATGGATGTACAGTGAGGTAACTTCAGAGGGGACTCTTGCTGTCACCCATCCATCTAGTCACCCTAGATCAGTGGTTCTCAACCTTCCTAATGCCGCGACCCTTCAATACAGTTCCTCATGTTGTGGTGACCCCCAACCATAAAATTATTTTCGTTGCTACTTCATAACTGTAATTTTGCTACTGTTATGAATCGTCATGTAAATATCTGATATGCAGGATGTATTTTCATTGTTACAAATTGAACATAATTAAAGCATAGTGATGAATCACAAAAACAATATGTAATTATATATGTGTTTTCCGATGGTCTTAGGCGACCCCTGTGAAAGGGTCGTTCGACCCCCAAAGGTTGAGAGCCGCTGCCCTAGATGCCAGCCCCAAGTAGGTGCGGGTGGGAAATACCAACAGGCTACACAAACTGCTATCATATCTCAGAGCAATGAAATACTAGTAGAGGAAACCCTTATGCATGCTCCAATCCCTAGGAAGACTGTCTCACTACTGTAGCTACCATATTGTCAAATCAGGCATCAGGTGTTGAGTTAAGCAAGCTCCCCTGGAGACCAAGGACAGACGGAACTCTGGGAAATCTGGGGACTGAGCCAAGGGCCAGCGGAGTGGATGAAGGGGCTGCCACCTCTGCATTGTGACTCCTGCCATGTGCCTCATTATGACCCGGCTCCCTCACCAGCTGGCCAGGGTCCCCAGGTCCGGTCCTGGCATGAGTGCAGTGTGGGTCGGGGCCGGTGGGGGGGTGCGGCCCTGGTGGCCCTCGGACCCCCCCCACCATGGAAAACAAGCTTTGGCATAACACCCTGGAGAACTGCAATCAAGACCAAGCAAATCCCCAGGATGCGGAGGACTTCGTCCTCCTGCTGCTGGGCCTCATCATTCTTGTCAACATTGGCATCAACCTGACAACTGTGGTCAGTGCTGGCTGCGGACCCTCCCTGAGAGCGCAGAGGGCGGAGGGTGGGAGCCAGCTTCAGCCTGTACCCCCATCTGCAAGAGCCGTCTTGGCGAGGGGGGGGGTTGCTGGTGGAAAGCTTGGTCTTCACTCCCACCCCACCTCACCCCCAGATGTGGCGTGGGCTCCAGAGTGTCGTAGACAAGACGATCAACTGGATTCATCAGAAAAGTAAGTATGGCAGCTAGCGAGGGAGGGAACACCCCCACACCCCGGCTACCACCACAGCCCAAGAAAGACAAGCCCCCATGTTCCCAACCGACAACTGCCCCGCCCTCACGGACTCTGGCGTTCCCCAGATGCAATCTTGCAGGCTTGTGAAAGTTCCCCCAAAGACGCCCCAGCCAAGGCCCAAGACATCCACATCCACTGCGCCCTGGACCCTGTTGAAGTGAAGGTGACCCAGCCCTCCTGCTACTCGGATTCCTCCCATCACCATCCTCGCAAGCGCAGCTACCGCCCGCGCCGCCGCCACCACCACCGCCGCTCCCCCTACGGCTACCAGCAGAGACAGAAGAACCACAGACAATTCCCCCCAAATTGCACGCTCTTCCACAGCCCACATCACAGACACAAGAGGTCACAGCTGAGGCCAAAACCCATCTTTGATCAGGAGGACCCGGACTCCTTTCTGGAGGAGGACAACAACCTGTCCTTCCCACATCCCAAGTACCCCCCGTGGGGCTGGGGTGGGCTGTGCCATCGGATGGGGCTGCCCTCCAACCTGAGGCTGTGGGGCCGCCAGGGCGGGATCCTGGCCAGCTTGCCACCACCCTCAATCTACCAGTCCCCTGAGCTGCGCCGCATGCCCAAGCGCGTGGAGGCCAAGTCAGAGCTGAGGCTGCAGTGCTATGGGCTCCGCCGCTCACAGTCCCGCGTCTGGGGCAATATGGAGGCTGAGCAGGGGCCCTTGCCCCCTCCACCTCCCCACCGGCTGCCTCCCAACCCCTCCTGGGCCCATGGGGGGCACAGCCCTTACCAATCAAGGGGCCAGCTCCCGTATGACTGCTGGGATCAGCGGCGGCGTGGTCTGGAGGCCTCCGAGCCTCCATCCGCCCTGATGGCCCGGAGCTGCCGGCCCGAGGCCCGGGAGTACTGCTCCCCACAGGCCCACCGCCGGAGCCTCCCCGGCCATGCTTATAGCCACAGTCCCTACCCGTCCACAGGACACTTGAGCTACACCTCCCGGGATCCCCATGAGGTACGGCGCCGGGCGGCTGAATGGGCTGAGGCCCTGCCCACTCAGCACCCTCTGACGACATCTGCCTCCCTCACTGTGTTGGGCGAGGTCTCATACCAACGGACCCTGGCTCCCAGCCAGCCCCTGCCTGAAGCCCAGACTCCTGAGCCACCCCCAATCACCTTCATGCCACTCAGCCGGAGCCCAGGGGGCAATGCCAATTACCAGGTGTACGACAGCCTGGAGCTGAAGCGGCAGGTGCAGGAGAACAGAGCGAGGGCCAACTCACTGCCACCACCCTCCACCTCCGCCTCCAGGCCCTCGCTGCACAGGAGCCGGGCTGGGAAACTTAACTGACCGGTGGGGCGGTGGGGCAGGGCCCTGAAAGAGGAATAAAGAGCAACAGAGTCCAGGAAACCCTGTGGTGGTCTGTGGCTGAGACGCGCCACTTCTTCTGCCGGCCTGGATCCCTGCCCTTAGCTCCCGGAAATGAGAAGCCGTGTGCTTGGCATGAGGCTCCCCGTGGGGCAGGGGCCCTCCTGGTCCTGCGCCAGGGCTCTAAGCAGATCTTGCCGCTGCTGACTCCAGACCAGGGGTCCTCAAACTTTTTAAACAGGGGGCCAGTTCACTGTCCCTCAGACCGTTGGAGGGCAGGACTATAGTTTAAAAAAAAACTAGTCGGCTGCTAAGCAACAGGCAGCGGCGGCAAAAACACCCGGCGGGCTGGATGTTTTCCGGAGGGCCGCATGTGGCCCGCGGGCCGTAGTTTGAGGACCCCTGCTCCAGACCATTGGTCTCCGGGCACCTGCTCTGTGTGAGGCTCTTTCTGTCCCAAAAGGGGACTCAGAGGCTCCGCCCCACATAAGAAGCTGAGGTTAGATTCCAGACGTGGGGGTTCCACGTCGGGGTAGATCCAGGCCTGCAGCCTCGCAAAGGGCAGGAAGAAGGCAAGGCTCTGGATTTCGGCCTGGCCTTCCCCAGGACTCTGAGGCCATGGTCTTCGTAGTCTCAGAAGGGGATGGGATGCTGCGTGAGTTTTCGAATGAGTGAGTCAGCAGGCAATGAGGGGAAAAATGAGGGTGAGATGGGCAGGGGAGGGGGGGAGGTTGGCTTCTGGGCCCTATTTGACTGTCCAGGCTCAGGTTACACAAACCCAGTTACCAGGGAATGACACTTGGCCTTCCTTTTCCTCCTCCTTCCTCATTGTGACCTCCTGTTCCATTATGACCCAGTTCTCCCCCTCCCCCACCAGAAGAGTTTGGCTCCTAGTGAGTATGTGGGGGCCAGGGGGCCCAGGTAGTCCTGGGACCCCCGGTCATGGGTGAGCAAGCCCACCACGCAGCCCCAGTGTGCTCTGGCACCAGCTCCGGGAAATGCCAGGACCTAGGAGACTCGATTCTTCTGATTCTGGGCAGCTTCATCTTGCTCAACGTGGGGATCAATGTGGTGACTCTGGTCAGGGAGGGGCCTGGGCACCAGGGTGGGGAAGCCCTAGGGTCTGAAGTGGGAGGGGGTGAGGTGAGAGGGCTGCTGGGATGTGGCCTGGCTAGGGTTGGACTTCAAGGCTCATCTTACTTCTGGGCTCTCCCCTCCCCTGCTTCCTCAGCTCTGGAGGCATCTGAAGAGCTCCTTGCGGATTCTTTTCCATCATTTTTTCCCCAAAGGTGAGTGAGTGGTCCCCAGCATGGGCTCGAGAGGATCTGGCCCTATCCCCTTTCTTCTGTCCCTGTCCCCATGTTCAGCCATTCAGGAACTCAGGCTTTGTCTTACCCGACCTTTCCCTGCAGACAAGCAACCCAACTCTATAGGCAACCATCCCATGGCTATGCGCTACTCTGTGGACCCCAAGAACCTATGCTCAAGAGCCTTTTCCCGCTTCCATCGTTGTCCAAGCTTCCTGCTCAGGAACCCTAACCAGCTTGACTCCTGCATACCAGATTCGAATGATGAGAAGGAATCCAGGTGCTACTGGATGAAGCCTCAGTATGGACACGCCAGAGCTCCCGTAGAGACTCTAAGGGGACTGTGGAAGGAGGGGATGAAGGGAGCTAGGGAGGCCCCTCAACCCATAGCCTCAAAGGCCCCAGGCACCTATCTCTCCAGGCAAGAGACAGCTTCCCAGTTCCCCAGGATGAGCAAGTTGGATCCGGTTCCACTCTGCTTGCCCCAAGGGAATAAGACTAAGACCCCAGATCATGCCCCAGCCCAGTCACGGACCCACCCC